ACTTCCTTCTACGAGTGAGAGTGATACCAAATTCGAATTTCCGTACCAAAGGTAAAAATTGCTGATGCGTGAACCTGGGCTCGTAGCTTTTTTTTATTATTATTTTAGGTTACATCATTATTTTCCAAATTTTTTGCCTAATAGTATTAATCACGACCAGGGAAATGTTTCAGATTCGTTACTTTACTTGATATATATCAAGAGCAACCAGTGCTTCTTGACTGCTGTTTGGGAGAAATAGTTTCGAGGCTTTTATCATACATAGATTTTCTAAGAGAAAATGAGACGAAGTATGTTTTTCTAGCCATTTTTCATTGGAATTTTTAGTTTGTTTCTATCTGTTTAAAATTAATGTTTTTGGATTTTACCTTTTCAGGTTCAGCGGACTTTCTTCTGCTGCCTTCCAGCTTCTATCCCATATTTCGAAAGTTCGTGGCTACAAGTCCTTCTTGGCCTTCCTGCCACATGAGGTCTCTTGTGCATTATCCGTAATTTTTTGAGTTAAAGTTTGGCTGTAATCGTCTACTCGTACTGTAATACTTTAACACCTTTGTAAAGCTTATTTCTGTAATTACGTTATCGTGGTGAAGTGCTGAAACTCATAATAATATATTTATTAATTTCCAAGAGGTTCCGTTTGATTCATTAAAAGTACAGTTTTTAATGATTTTAGGTTACATACCTAGAAAGAGTTCTTTCGTCATTGGAAAAGGCTTATGAAAATTTTCATGCTAGTTACGTTTTGCTGTTATGGATGGTCATATTGTGCAAAAATCCGTTTGATTTAAATCGCTTCGCTCCTAACGCTGAAGATCCTTTGTATACAGATCGTCGGATCATCAGGATTGCTCATTCCTATCTTTCAAGACCAGTAGACAAGTGTCATGTACTGCTTTTATCGAGTTCTCTAGATTTTTTTCTTTGAAGTTTTGGGGTTTTTACGTTATAATACTCAATTGCTTACTACTGGTCATGCTAATCTTCTGTGATATTGGTTTTTTAAGCCTGTTGCCGCATTATTATTAGCAGTTACTGCTTGCCGCGCTGAAGCGTGTTCCACATTGTTACCTTCGTTGGTGAAAAACAGCGCCGAAGTCTTGCAGAACTCTGAAGAAAAGTCGTCGAATAATGTACAGCTTATTGGCAACCTGTACCTTCTTGTTGCTGTGTTGAAGCAGGTATGGCAGTATCCCTCTTGATTTTTTTAGGTTGAATTGGATACTTAAAGTTGAGAGGTTATTTTAATTTTTTCTTAAAAACTATATTTGAACTGTTTTTCCGTATTACAGTGTGTTTATGATTATGGTGGCTTAAATTTAGTTTATTTTTTCATCACAAGGATTTTTATTTTGTTGAAACTTTTTTTATTTGTGCTTTGATCCTCATTTGTATGTTTTATCCTTAAAACTTTTCAAAAAAGTAATTATAGATAGTTGTTTAGTTCACATTTGTTTACTCATAATCTTTTTTAGGGACAAAGAAAGGATTTGTTAAACTTAGCTCCATTGATTTTACAGTCATTGAATTTGGCTCATCAGATAGAAGGGACTGATTTTCTTGTGAAGAAATTAGTCACCAAGCTTGTCCAACGTCTTGGAATGGTTTTTCTTAAACCAAAAGTTAGCTTTTCAACTATGTTTTTGTCTGTGGTTATTATTTCGTAAAGTAAAATACTTTCAGGTAGCTCTTTGGCGGTATAATCGTGGCAATCGTGTTCTTTCATTTAATCAGAGTACAGGAGATTGTAATGCTGACGTAGTAACAGGGGAATTAGATGCTGACGAGGACTACGATATACCCCAGAAAGAGGTTTCCGACAGTTTTTTTTGTTTAGTCCATTGCTTTTGCCTCTCAGCTGTCGCTTACGGTGAGGAATTTTCTAAAAAAATGTTCGTTAGATTGGAAAATGGAATTATTGAAGACGGCTTTTTTCATTTAAAAGTTTGTTGTTGAATAAGTGAACCTATTGGTTTTTATTTTTGATTTGAACGGAAGTGGTGTCATTTGTCAGGTGCCTTTGTTTTACTATTTTGTACATGATTTAGCTGATTAAATGTTAGATTTTTGGTAAGTTTTGAGATTATATTTTCAATGAATTTAGCGGCTTGCTTTAGCTGGAATTCGTGATGGACGTTATTTTAAAGTCGTTGCGGGATTGCGATACTGCTGTACGCTGGTCAGCAGCTAAGGGTGTGGGTAGAGTAGCATCACGCCTACCAAAAAATTTGGCTGAAGACGTCGTTCGTTCTATTCTTGCTTCCAATTTCGATGAGGTTTCTGGGCACGCAGCTTGGCATGGAGGATGTTTAGCTATAGCCGAATTGGCCAGAAGAGGTTATTTGACGGTCGATCTGCTACCGGACGTAATAGAAGTATTAAAGAAGGTGACTTAGGAATAATTCAAAATTTTTTCTCTTTCATTTTGACGAATTTAGTTTTATTTGTCTACTTATTCTCATGATTTTTTTTACCAGGCTCTGACTTATGAGGAACCTCAAGGTCGTCATGCACTTGGTGCCAATGTGCGAGATGCAGCTTGTTATATTGCATGGGCTTTGGCAAGAGCTTTTCGGCCTCTTGACCTAGTTCATTTCATGGAAGATATCGCCACCTCCTTGGTTTGCGTTGCCCTTTTTGATCGTGAAACGAACGTGCGAAGGTACACTATCAATATGTTTTCTGTATCGTAATGTAGGTCTTAATGAGGATATCATTATGCCAGTATATAAGGAGTGTTTTATCTGATGCGCAGTTTTTTTTTTTATAGGGCTGCCAGTGCTGCATTCCAGGAAAATGTGGGCCGCCATGGATCTTTTCCTAATGGTATCGATGTCCTTACGCGGATTGATTTTTTTGCTGTCAGTCAGCGTAGTCGAGCATACATTGATATTGCCTGTGAAGTAGCCCGGTTCTCTCCTTATGCATGGCCAATTGTCAAACACCTTCTGTTTAAAAAGGTTTTCATTCAAATAGAGAATAGTTTAAAAAAATGCTTCTAGATTTTGATATCATATTGAACCATTAATTTTTTCTTATGGCTTTTGCTTTATTTGTGATCGGACGCTTTGACAATAACTTTCGCATCTCTTCACTTTAAGGATATAATGAAAAGCTTGTAGATAATCCACTGGGATGAGAATTTGAGACTTCTTGCTGCTGAGTCGCTGTGCCGTCTGGCTCAAACACAAGGCTCATTGATCGTTGATCAGGTGTTATCCCAGTTATTTTTTTATTCTTGTAGAATACTGCGTTTGAGTAAATTTTCTGGAATATTTTTTGTTCGAAAAAGGTCATTCTCTTTTGCGATTTCTTCTGTGTACAGATTTGAGCTAAATTAATTGTTTTCTAGTAGCTTTAGTTCACTTCTTTTTTCAACCGTACTAGTGGTTTCTGGTATCGACTTTTAGTTTTTATGATTGCCGTTGAACATCTTCTTTTAGATTTCGTCAGCTGTAATTCCGTTGCTGAACCACAAAATTCCTGTCTGTCGCCAGGGAGGAATTCTTGCTTTAAGTGGCATTCTTTTTGGTTTGAATGCTCATGGGTATCGACTGGATTCATTACTCTTGGAGCGCACTGTTCTCGTTCCTGCAGAGTCATATTCTGTTTGTGAAAAGAAAAGACGTATAGCAGGAGGTGCACTGATCAGACGAGCTGTTAACACTTTTATACACTTAATGTCTTCTGTCATACCCCTGAGCTTGATACCGGTAAGGAAAATTATTAATAAGTATATTGTGATTTACTACTAACTTTGTTCTTTGTTGAGCTGTGAATTTTAAAACCTTACCATTATTCACTGATGTGCTCCTTCTTAAGTCATTTTTTGGATTCATATTTCCGGTAATATTTTGCTGTTTATAGAAAAGCCGTGGAAAGAAGAATGTTATTTAGATTATTTTATTTTTGATACATGGGGCGATTCTTTGTGCATTACAGTTACAACTTTTAAGAAACACTTTGCAGTAACTGATAATTTTACGGTCTTAAATAGGGATCACATTGGTTTTGCAGGCAGAGCACTGGTTAAAAAGCGTTGAACTGAATATAGTTGACGAAAATGAAGATATAAGGCAGAATGCAAGTGTCGCAGCTAGTTCTTTCTTTAGTTTGTTTACAAAACCAGAGGATGCAGGAAAACTAGCTTTGCGAGTTAAACAGTGCTACTTACCCAAGGTACCTTTTTCAGGATGATAGTGTAGTGACATGGTTAATTAATGTGTCGTTGGAATTTTTTTGGAGGTTTATTTTACGTATAGTGATTTTATCATCATTTCGGCGATTTAGTTGTTGAACGCTGACACGGAATGCTTTTGCCAAGGGATTGCTTTGCTTCTTAGTTCTCTGCCTGCGAATATCTTGTTGGAAACTTGTCTTTCTGGCAAGCCTCTCTTTGAAGATATAACGGAAGCGTTAATC